GCCTGCGCCAGAATACCTCTTAAAGGAGCTTCATTTCTTGTCTCAAAAATTTACTTAATGAAAACATTTACAATCATAAAAACTGACCCTTGCTACTCATCAACTATTGTTTACATATTCGATTTGATCATGCGAAAATTGTACCACCAGTCCTTAGTACTTTGTGTGTCTTAGGGGTGACTAAATATGAGCACGAAATGGAGAAGAGCTAATTGTGGAATTTTTCCTCATTTATATATTTAGGTCCCATGTTTTAATTGAATTTCACTTAGCTTTGATTCTAAAAAAGGTATTCTTATACAGACAGGAATTGACTGGAGTTCGAATAAGTCTACGTACACTGGTTACTTCAGAACCTACTAAATATGAATTGGGGAGAATAAATTCTGTAGTTAATACGTATTGATAGTCTCCAAAACTATTATTTTTTAAACCAAAAATGTTTAGTAGCTGTTTGACCTTGCTTTCGCAACTTGGTCATATTGGCAGAAAGAGCTAGAGAAACGCACCTAGTCCGGAGTTCATAGTATGCATTATCATTTCCAGAGTCGGACCGTGGACTTGGTACATTCCCAGACCTTTCGCCAGCACCGTAGTCGGCATCGTCAGTGAGCCTAGCCATTCTTAGCAACACACCATAACTCATCAAAGAAACAAGTGAACTGGATCCTTTGACCGATCGTCGGCTAGACATTATTTTTCGAATAAAGTATTGTTTTTCGTGTCTACCAGTAAATCAGTAATATGAGATGTATTCACCCAATTTCGTTTAAGCTGATGAAGGACTGGTAGAAGAAGAATTTTCCCACAATGATAAGAAGTTGGGCTGAAGTTTCCATTGAATTTCACCCTGGATGAGAACAACTTTTGGGAAAGCAAGGTTATGTGAAATTTAATGAAAATGTCAGCTCAACTCATATCATTGTGGGAAAATTCTTCTTCTACCAGTCCTTCATCACCTTAAATGAAATTGCGTGAATACATCTCATATGTCTGCTAGACAGTTTGGTATCTCTCCTTATGTCCTGGGCTATTCACCCTACCTATATCATTGTACCACCACTTCATTTTCACAATTTCTTACTTGTTTATTTGGACGTGGTTTGAATAGTTTCCTCAATTTTATTGACCACTTTGATGAACGAATTTAATTCACAATGGAGATGGAGGAGGATAAACGACTACCTTTCTGGATATTAAAATCATGCGCTCCAAAGGGACACTCGTGAGGAGACTATACAGAAAGAATTCATATTCGGGAATAATCCTTAATTTTCAGCCTCCCCATATCTACAAACTGAAGATAGGAATACTGAGGAGTTTGCTCATCAGAAGCTTACGACTAACGTACAATGAGTTCTGGGACGAGGAGTTGGACAAACTGACACGGATTTGTCTTAATAGCGGGAACCTGAGAGAAATTATAGAAAAAAATGTAGAGGTTATAAAGGGCAGATTTCAACTCGGATTTTATGAAAATCGGATCAGGAATCAGGAGGACGACCAGAAGTGGATTTGTCTGCGTTCATCAGAACTGGGCCATCAATTGCGACCGTTACTAAGGCAATGGAAAATCAAGGTGATAGGAAAGGAGAATAAAATACTTTTCACCAGCCTCCCGACGCAACACGAGAAGACGGACAAACTTGATTGCTCGCATTCCCTGTTTATCGCATCAAATGAGGCAACTGTGATGAAAAGTATATTGGTGAAACAGGAAGAAAAGTCAGTCTACGAATCAAGGAACATCAAAGACTCTGCAGGAACATGGATACGGAAATATCCAAAATAGCTGAACACATTGCACGAAATCGAGTGGAAATCGACAGAAAGGTTGGCTGCATGTGGTGAAAATACGAAAAAACGCAAGATCCGAGAGGCCATTAATATACTGACAGAGAGAAATATAATGAACAGGATACTTAAGGAAGGAAGGATCAGCGAAAACCTTGCATATTGCCTAAATAAACAACAATAAGATCAGCAAAATAAAAGATCAGAAGGAACAATCAGAAGCCAAATATAGAAGCCTAATCAAAACGAGTAGAACCACAACCTTTGTGGGTTGGCACACAAGAGGCTAGGACATAGGATGTGATAGACTTGGTATTATGGATAGAAACAGGAATGAGGCTATTTGGCTAACAATAGACGTGATCCATGGAGCAAAGGTTTGACACTTTGAATTCTTCGGGCTATTTAGCCTCAATTTTGTCTCCCATCCAGTTTAAGAATAC